GGGGGCAGATAAGGGGTGGCTGTGACAGGAGATCATGAGGGGCAGCCATAGGGGGAGATCAGTTTGCACTTAGTGACATGGTTTAGTGGTGGGCTTGACAGTCCTGGGCTTGATGACTTTACAGGTCTTTTTCAATTTGATTCTATGTTTCTGTGATTCTAATGTGACAATTTTTGTATAGTAATGCAGTGTGCTGCTCTTAATGTTTTCGATAGATCTTTTCAGTGTAGCCTTGAGTGTGGTGCAGTGGACCAGATCCATTGCTCTGTCCATCCTCTGAGACTCAGTGAAGCTTGAGAGAGTAAGTGACAAGGGTCCTCATGGGTAAATCCCAGGAAAGCAAGAGGAGACAACACCATGATCTGGTTCACACAGCTGGAGAAACCTTTCAGGTTAATTCCCTGATGCTGAGTGTGGGCTGCATGCTGGGGAGATCTAAATTTGGGGGCCATCTGCTTTACCTTGGAGAGATACCCATGCTGGACCACCAGTGGCACCAAATTGGAGCATCAGATGTAGGTGAATCTAGGTGTCCTTGCATCTGGCATGCAACAGTGCTTCTGTCTTCTGGAAGGTTTTCAGCAGTCACGTATCTGTCTCTCTGGTCTCTCAAGACTTGTCTCCTACCCAATGATCTTTTCAAGTTGAATGAGCAAAATGGTTGGTTCTCAGCACAGTGGTTTTATACACACAGATTATTGAATAACTGTGACAGCTTTGCAGGGTTTTGTGCTGGCCAGTAGTCTTGAGTAGATGCTTTGTGTTGTCTTCCTGAATGCAATTTGTAACAATAACGTTTGTCTCTTACTGTGTTTCTGGAACCAATTTGCCTACTTTCCCTTTCTCTTTCTACTAGGACATCCAGAGAGCGCTCTGCCCTGCACACTACCAGTTCTCTTTTGTTTGCCTACTTTGCTGCCTGTATTCCCATGTTTTGGGAACAGGTTTATGTGAGGTTACTTTAATGTAGAGACTAGAAGTCATTATGAGCTAAACCAGTGAGAATCTTGGGCAGCTTTTCCACGTGAGTCTCTCATGCTAAAATCCAGACTCCCAAATGTAAAATTCCATAAGCGGCTTGATTCATTTGATTCATTTCCTCTGTATCTTCAATTTCAAAGCCATTTAGGAAGATCATTTGCACAGACATAAAAGTTCTCTTTAACTAAAGTCAACCAATGTGTTTTTTCAATGAGCTGGAGCTCGTAAGAAAGCTTCCAACATTAACTGTGTAAAGAAGGCAATTAGTGTTTGAATAATATATTGAAAATTAGCCCGAGGCATACTGAAAAAATGCATGTTTTACACATGTATATTTTTGATCCAATTCCATAGTTTATATTAGATCTGGACATAGACACTTCTAAAAGCTACCAAATCAATTCAAACTGTGGAAAAAAGTTGTGATTGTCTATAGAAAGGTTTTTTTGAACAGTGATGTAGTTGCTGTATTTAATCACTCAAAGGAAAAGGCTTTTCTACTGCTGTAGTATGTCAAGGAAGCTTATCTGCGTATAAACAGCAAAACGAGACCTCTCTCATGTTACAGAGCTTCAACTTTTGTAGTTTAAAAGTTGAACATTTCTAAAACTGTACTAATGATGTCATTCTGATAAACAAGATACCCCTCTCCCCCTGTCATGGAGTGATGCTTTCCATAGGTTTTAGAGCTGTCATAAGAGTAGGAACAAAGCTGTCATAGTCATAGGAATCAGTGGAAAACTTTCATTTTAATATCTGCTGGGGGGGCCGATTACAGGGAGCAGCCTCAGGTTATCTGTCTTAAAGATTGTTGTGTCCATTATCATGAGTATTTTGCCCACAGTTTGATAAGAATTATGGTCAAGAGAAGGATCATTTTCCTGAAGGGGGAGAAACAGGAATTGATGCAATCATGGATAAAGTACCAGTAAAAACGTGCTTTCTGCAGTTGTTTAAGAATTTCTTATTTGTATCAGTTATTATGGTGTGTATAGAGCAAAATCTTTCAGGAAGACTAGCTGAAGCTTTTGTCTGTTCCTACAAGAGAATTCACTAGAGTAAAAGTCAATGTGGGGTCTTAGATGCAGAAGTATAACGGCTTGCCTTAACATTTAGAAGAGCATATGGTTTTGGTAATAGGCTAATAAGAGCAATTAACCTTACAGTGCACTCTTTTGTTGGTCTCAGTTGTTTATAAACTAGGTAATAAAGATATTTTAACATCCTATAGCTTTATAGGAGATTAGTCAAATCAGGCTGTATTTTTCAAGTTGATGTCTAATGTCACAGTATCACAGTATCACAGTAGGTTAGAGATTGGAAGGGACCTCAAAAGATCATCTAGTCCAATCCCCCTGCCGGAGCAGGAACACCTAGATAAGGTTACACAGGAACGTGTCCAGGGGGTTTGAATGTCTCCAAGGAGATCCCATCCCTGGGCAGCTGTTCCAGTGTTCGACCTCACTGAGAAGAAGTTTCTTCTCAGGTTTAAGTGGAACCTCTTGTGTCCAATTTGTACCCATTCCCTTGTCCTTTCATTGTTTGCCACTGAGAAGAGCCTGGCTCCATCCTCGTGACACTCCCCCTTTATATATTTATATACACTAATAAGGTCACCCCTCAGTCTCCTCTTCTCCAAACTAAAGAGACCCAGCTCCCTCAGGTGATACTGTAAGTGATAGAAACATAAAACTAGAAGAGCATAAAATGTTCAGAGTACTATGCGGTGTGTCTAACCAATGAATATAATCACAAATACATAAATACATAGTATGGTTTAAAGAAATAAAAACATGTTAAAGGTTTTCATTAGAATGAGGAATGTTTTCACAGGATGCAGTCACAGATCTGTCATTCGTCTTGTTCTTGTCACCTTGCAGAGATTAAAATGTAAACTGTTTCTAGGTTTATTTAACGTAAAACCTGATTTTAAACTTACCTTCTTCTTCGTGTGTGCAAATAGACAGCATTTCTCATAGCATCTTCCATGTAGTTGTTCAGAAGGATGAACTTAAACAAATGGGTTTCTTTCAACAGCAAGCACTGTCATTGTCTTTTGGGCTGTTTTTTGAAGGACTTGATAGTCTTGCTGCATTACTTCCTGCAGAAGTTCCAGTTTCTCAGTTAGGAGCTGCTGTGTTTGCTTGCCCCAGAAACTGCACTCACAAGAAAAGCTCTTATTACTTTATTCTCTGCCAGCTCCTTGCATTACAGATGGTGTATTTTGACAGTTGTTCAGTTGGGTTTCTTGCTGCAAAGCCAAGTGACACCAAGGGTTGAATGATCTTTCTTTTGCACGTACTTTGGTTTCTAGGTTCGTGGTGATGGGAGAATGACGTTTTCCCCATCATAATATTTTTTTATTTGGTTCTGTTAACTTTTGGCAGTTCAGCTTTTGGGCTCCTGCTTTTGTGCAATATTTGTTTTGCAAACTTTTGCCCATTTACTGCAATGTCCCAAAAGAGCCTTCAGAATCAGATCATTTTTGGATTTAATTTGGCTGTGGTATATTGTGTTTGTTAGTGTTTTGTTTATCCTTCCTGTTATTTGTCTGAGTTTTACCTTATGTACTGGTTACAGACATTTTTATTGAATTTAGCTGGTCATAACCCTAATGACTTGCTGCTGCTTTTTCTTTATCATGAGTTTGAAAGTCAGTACAGTAATTTTTTCTTTGGGCTTTCTGCAGAGACTTCCATGAAACCCTTCTGCACTAATTTGTGGTCTGGTTTTCCCTCTTTCATTGAATTGACTGAAAAATGTACTTGCTGGTGCAGCATTCACCAAATATGAGGGCTTTTGCTTTATTAGACTTGGCAGTATTTAAACAATACTAATTCTTATACCCAGCTGGCTTTTCAATTGATTTCTGTGCTCTCTGTTGCTGTGTAAAACAAGCTGGAACATTAAAGGCATCATGCATGCTACCCTCTGGAGACTTGTTTTGTAGAGAAAAATCAAATAAGTGTAAAATCTTCTGTTTTTTTCTCCTCATAGCTTTTCTTCTGGATCTTTCAGTGATATTTCAGTGAGCTGGCAGAGTGTGCACATATTAAGATGCTAATTTTCAAGCACATTCCTTTAAAAAAGCAGTCTTTATAGTGAGATTTGCTAGCTTGCTCTTTGTTTATAGAAATAAAGGTCTCTTTCATTACCTCAAACAGAGTATAGCAGCTTTAAATCATATTCAAGATGGACGTAAATGTGACATTTTAACCCAGCAAAAACTGCATGTTTCAAATGTGTTCGCTAAATAGTCCAAGAATGTCTGCAGATGTTAATCATTTGGTTTATCCGCTCAATTTAACAGTATTGAAGCAGCCTGAAGTTTTGAGCTACGTATTAGAATTCCTGGAGAGAGTGAGACCCAAAAAGCATTTTCCTGTCCTGTAAACACCAATATTGAAGTCACACTTCTGGCCAAATCCCAGCCTTAAAACATATGCTCCTGAAGAATGAATCTTCTCTGCTCTAGAACAGTCATCTGTGATGGGCTTCAGCCTTTGTTGAGGTGACTGTGTAGCATGAGTCTCTCTTTCCAGTCCTTCAGAGGCTGCTTATTTTCATGTCAATTTATTGTGAAATTCCACAATACTGGAATTCCACTTACTGGAACCCAAACTTGACTCCTCGTCCCCTCCATGTCCCTGCGTACTCAGATAGGCCTGAAGTTGGGTTAAGGATTTGGTTGTTGTGGATCAAATGAGGGCAGTGACCTCTCACAAAGGACTGGTCAAAGCTGAGGAGTGAGAACTGATTTTTAACGTCAAGAAATCAGTGCTTTCTGATGGAAATGTATAACATTTTTGGCCATGATGTCTTCCTATGATCTTTTCCTTTCCTGCGTGGAAGCCAGGTAGCCATCTGTTGTGTTCTTTTTGCCACTCACACAACATGCATGCTAGTATCCGTTTCACAGTGTTATAAACTCTATGTTGCGCTTATAAAGTTACATGGAGTCATTGTAGGAAAGATTTTATTAATAATTAATGGTATTTAATGTATTTTTTGTACTACAGCTGGTCTGAAAACCCAGAAGAATGGAAGTTTCAAAAGACAAGACAAACCTGGCTCCTCTTGCACATGTATGATAAAGAGAAGGTTTGTATTAACGCCGCTGCTTCTCAGAACAAAGATGATTTAAACACTAGTTGTAGCTATTTTTTATTCACCAAAAGTTGCTAGTAATAGCCATGGGCTTTGCTAATATTTTTTCAGTAATTTATAAATCAATTACCTTGTGTTTTAACTAAAATGTGGAATCATTTAGTTTAAAAACCCTAAACTGTAGAATCATTTTAATTGCTTGTAATTAACCTTTTTCTTTTGTTGGTGATCAGTCTCCTGTGTACACTAGATTTTTATGCTTGATAATATGTCATTTTTATACTTGATCTATGTCAAGGATAAATAGAGCAGGTAAATATTTTATGTAAATCTGGAGCTTACTGAGAATTTGAGTCATCCTTCATTTCTAAATGTGGAACCCAGTATTATAAATCGTGATTCTCATATTGCTTTAGGTGTCTCTGGCTCCATATAAGATGCACAGCCATCTTGCCGAGATGTTAAAATAGCTTTCTCATTAAAATATAAGTGAAACCTGATGTTGATTGTAAAAAACATAAAGTATAACCAGAAGCGAGGCTTGCATCATTACTGAAATCCATTCATTTCATACCTTAAAAACCAGCAAGGATTGAATTTCCAATAAGCATCTGGCCATTGTGGTATTGAGTGGGGGTTTCCAGTCATTCATTGTGTTGTTTGGTAGAGCAAATATCTAGCTATTTGCACAGGGCCTTTCTTGTTGATTCATTTAATTGACACTCAGTTAGGTTTTGCTCACTTTTTTGTGTGCACTTCAACCTTTGAGCATTAACCAACTTCCTGACCCAAATTACTCAGCAGCTCTTAAAAGAATCACTTGACATAGGGTGTTACCTTTATGATAAAAATACTTTTAGAGAACCAGATAATTAAAAGCGTAGTTTCTGAAGGGCAAAAGTGTTCACAGAATACAATACTTTACAAAGATTAGTTGCAGAATGCATATTTGATTGTAAGTATCTAGGTTGTTTGCACTTCTGTTTTTAAGTTTTTCCTGTGAAAGCCTTTTATCAAATTTCAGAATCAGTGTATGCTCTTTAAAACTACCTAGAAATTGTTTTACAGGCAGAATGATCTTTTAGCTTTTTACCTGTTTACTTTGAGTTTTGTGTTGAAATATACTGGGAAATAATTAACTTCAAGTAGCATTTGTTTTATCTATCAAAACACATCTTAACTCCTTATTTCTCAACACTGAAGTGAAACTTCGTCTTGTTTTAATCTGCTGAAAGTGCAATGATTCATTTAAATTCACGTGTTTTGTAGTTTAATAATCAGAGATACATTGACTATGAACTTTATAGAATCACAGAATAGTTAGGGTGGGAAAGGACCTTAAGATCATCCAGTTCAAACCCCTGTGCCATGGGCAGGGACACCTCACCCTAAACCATGTCACCCCAGGCTCTGTCCAACCTGGCCTTGAACACTGCTGGGGATGGAGCATTCACAACCTCCCTGAGCAACCCATTCCAGTGCCTCACCACCCTAACAGTAAAGAACTTCTTCCTTATATCCAATCTAAACTTCCCCTGTTTAAGTTTTAACCCGTTACCCCTTGTCCTGTCACTACAGTCCCTAACGAAGAGTCCCTCCCCAGCATCCCCATAGGCCCCCTTCAGATACTGGAAGGCTGCTATGAGTTCTCCACGCAGCCTTCTCTTCTCCAGGCTGAACAGCCCCAACTTTCTCAGCCTATCTTCATACATAATAATCATTATGTAATGATTAACATCTGCCTTCGATTAACATCTGCGTTCAGATGCAGTATTTAATAGAACTGCTCAAGTGCTTATAATTAAACAAATGATGAAGTCTCTTTCTTCATCAGGACTGTAGGAAGGGCAAACCATATTCTTTTGAATATATTTTATGCAGTTGAACTTCCTATCCATGACAGAATAAAATCTGTCAGATATCCATCCAAGCATGTCTAAAGTACAAAAGGAGACACGAGTTTCTTTCCTTCCTCATCAGCTTCTTTGATCTCATGGTGTCACTTGGATGCCTACTGAAAAGCCATGCAAATGAGCGAATTGAGTTTCCTGGACTGACAGGCCTCTTTCTGTGAGAAATAAATTGAGATTTTGAAGTCCTTTGTGACAGGAGGGTTTTTTTTAAGTCCCTTTAAAATCCATCTGGTGGTTGGCTGACAGCTTCCATCCCAAGCCTATATACCTACAGTGTATATAATGGTTCAGGATCCCATGTAAAATAAACACTACATCATTTGTTGATCTTTGTCATCCGGTGCAGCATTTTCAGGCAGGAACTACATCAGCTGTCTTCAGCTTCTGGGCTGCAGGGCCCTGGAGGGGTTTCTGAAGCTTCCTCAGAAGGTGACAAAAAGTCAAGCTTGGCCGCAGTAAGCTGAAGTTCTCTATGCAGATACCTGTATTTGTTTTGCAAAACCTGGGAGCATCTGCAAGTCTAAAAATCCTGAAACCCCCAGAATTAAATAGTATAACTTAAAAGTGATAACTGTTCTTTTCCTGCTGCTGTTCTGTAGTGTTTCCCCCCCCCCCCTTTTCCCTGATGACAATAATTATTTTGGGATATTTCCATGTTAGCTCCAGTGCGTATTAGCTGGTTAGAACAGAGGTAAGGTTAGTGTGTGAGAGAGAAAAAGAAACTAGAAAAATGTCAAAGCAGTTTAACAAAAGAGTAATAAAATCCCATAAGCATCACTTCCACTTGCCAGAGCCGTGGTGGGAGATATGGATATCCAATTTCAAGCCAGCCCAAAAGCTCATCTTAGGTGGATAGTGTTTCTTTCTATAAAACCACAACAGGAGTCCCTGAAATTTCACGTCTTGTACTGCTAGATTTGATAATCAAAATTGAATATCATTTATTTTGCTGCCACTTTTGGTGTTCCAGCTCTATTGTACATGCAAGGTAGGAGGAAATACGATACTATCTTGCCTCCTTGGTACTGTATTGTATTACTCAGCTTGTGCTGAGATAAACCTAATACCTGCATTAAAGAAAAAAAATCAGGCTTTTTGAACACTTGAGCAGTTATCCTTAGGGCAAAATACTAAATGTTTGCTAGGCTTCAGGCAGCCACATGTCTGTCTGCACACTTAGTACTTCTAAGTTTTGAGTAGGCTTTTAATTGCCCCCTCAAGCACTTCGCTTGAATGATACAATAATAACTGTAATTCCACAGAGCGAGGTATCACTGTACCACAGGGTCTGAGAACAAAAAGTGTAAATTACATAAATAACTTGGATAAGGTTTGAAATGTAGAAATGTTGATGAGACTTAAAAATGCTGCACTGAGCATCTGTGTTAAAGAGCACTGTCCTGCTGAAATTGTTTGTATCTGATTTTTTTTGTCTGTTATTTGTACCAGCTTACTGTGAGTAAAAAGGTTGCAAAATATAGGCATTTTTTGTTATGTTTACATGTGTTTAATTTGTATATTATAGCAACACTTCATGTATCATCCATTTCAGTGTTAGTCACTGTGAAATTAATTTTTTTGTATCTATATTGTTCCTTTAATGCAAGAGTGTTTATGTGAAGAATTAGAAGGTTTTCTATAGTGTAGAAGCGATGAGGCTGAATGCAGACTTTAGTTTTGATTTATTACTTTGAAGTACCTCTGATTGATGAAGGCACTGTTGGAATATTCTTTCTTCCTCTTCTTTTGGAGTGATAGAAGTTTCAGTGATCAAAGTTACGCTGCCAAATGTTGATGGAGAAGTGAGTTGTAAATTAAGTATCTGTTGAAGCTCTGTCTTCTCTGAAATGTTGATACTTTGCAGAATTGAAACAGCCCTCGAATAATGAGTCTCCAATCCTTTAAATACTTACGTATGTGTTTAACTTGACTCATGTCAAGTTTTATGTGTAAAGTTAAACATGGAGGAAAATATTTGCAGCATTAGGTCATTTTCACATCTCCTGATTCACAGCAAAAATATTCTCTTATTGGCTGAAACCTGTTCCACAGATACACAACGTAAAGTTAAGATATGCTTCAGTGTAGATCTGTTCACCTGATGCTTTTGAAAATAAATTGGTTTGAAATACCGAATAAGTAATTCAGAAGTCTTTGTTAGGCTCTTGCCAAGATTATTTAATGTAATGTTCATTTAAATTTTATGTTGTACCCAGTAAGCTAAGATTTAACCTGTGACTTGTTAATTAGAAAGGGAATGAAATGGGGGTAATGCAACTGGAGATGACTAAACTGCTTTTAATGTTAGGCCAGTGAGTAGAGCCTATCAGTTTTAGTCAGCGTGATTTAAAAATGATTTCCATATGTCTGACTTTCAATTTGTTTTTCAAATCGAATTCTTTTCCTTTGTATGAGCATTCTGTCAAAGTGTTTGATGGTGGGTGGTATCTTATCTCAGCAAACAAATAGCTCTGGGTAGGGATGAGGGTAATTCCCGCAAAATTCCTTCCTCAGACATGTGCATGCAATTCTCACTGAATTTGGTGAGGTTTGTGTACATGTTTCTAAAAGTAGGATTTGGCTAGTAGTTGGGTTTTTTTTTCTACCAACAACTTTCAGCCTTGAGCTCATTGTCAGGGGGTGTTTGCATTTGCTGATCAGCATTTCCACATCTGCTTAGAATTTCCTCTCAGATGCTTTGCCCATCTGAGCACATGACAGTCCTCTTGTCATGGTCCATCCCTCCCGGCAGCTTGAGCCTTGGCAAGGAAAACTTCCACTCAGAGATGGGCATTGGCAAACACAAAAGCCCATGCAGTTTTCTTACTTATCTTTCAGGCGGTGTTTTGACATGATTGTGAATGAGTAGTGAGAGAGAAGAAAGTTAAGCAGGGATTTTTTCTAATTCCTTGATCTTTCTTTAAAGGTTCCAGACAAGTATTTCACCATTTTACTGGATTACCTGCAAGGGCTTCAAGGGAATGCACGAGACTTAACTGTGCAGAAAGCTGAAGCTTTTATGAAGGAATTTGATGATCTCAATGCAGAAGACCCAAACCTCTTGGACAAGTGCGAGCGCATACGACAAGTTCTACAGCTGCTGTCCTGAGAGTATTTTTATGTCTTAACAGTTGCCTGGTGGAGAGGAGGATAGGTTGTCATATATAGAGACTATAAGTTAGTTGTAAAGACATATTTTCTAATGAGAAGCCTAATATTATATGTATTCTAATACTGGGTATTCAGATTTTGTACCCATAAGTTTTTCCAGTTGCACAGCTTTATCCTGTTTTGATGTGATAAAATAAAAATAACATATTTGGTCCATAGACGTGTTATTTAAATAATCTTAAGTGCATATCTTTAGAAAAATAAACCTCTCTTTCTTGTTAGTTTTTCTCCACCTCCCCCTGTAATTACTGTTAAATAAGAAGAGCTTTGCAGTTCTTAATAAGAGCGAAGGAACCAACAAAAAGCCTGGAGGGTCTTTTACAATGGCAGCTTTTAAAATGAGCATACAGTACAGTGTTTGCTCAGCCAGCTGTAATCTATCACTTTCAGCTTTAGAAGTATGTCATTTGGATTTGGGAAAGATCATTTTCAGTCTGTTGAACATGGGTTGTATAACACAGTTGCTTATTAGTACTTCACACGGTGATCTGGAGATACCATCAGCTTTGTTAGTTTTCCTTTTATATTTTGAAGTTTTCAAATGCATTATGGCAATTGTTTAGATACTCAGATAATGCACAGATGGGAACAGACCAAATCCGTTGACTCTATGTAGTGAAGTCATCTGATTGTACCAAAACTTACCATATGATGAGAAGTGCTGTGCTGCAACATTTTGTAGCTAGCCTGCCAATATTGCATTTTCGTCCTTCTCTTTTAACTGGCATCCAAAAGAGTTAATTTGTGTTCATTCACTTTGACGTGAGACATTTGTCTCCTGTGAACATGCTGAAAATATGAGGCTTTCAAGTAGACAACAAGGACATTAATTACTCAAAAGTTGGATGATTGGCTTATTTAATAACACTTGTATTCAGTCAGTGTTCTTGACCTGATTCTTTAATGTTTCTTCAAACATTGTTCATACTTTATTAATAACAACTATATGAAAAGTGTAGTGTTTAAGAAGAGTGTCTGTCTTTGGGAATTACAGCTTTAATTTGGGTATGTGGGGCAGGGTAGGATCTATGGATATGCGGGCCTAATTTTTCAATAAGAAGCATTTGAGTGGATTTGACAGCCTTCACAGTCATGGATTAATTGCAAATCTTCAGAAATATGAAATATATTACTAGTAACAAATAACTTACGCTTTCTGACTTCTTGAAGGTGATGTTTTCAGCAAAAAAAAGACTAGGGACCAGCATGCCCTGCTGTAACACGATAACCATCATGGAGTGAGCAGAACTCAGCAGCAGTGACTAGCCTCTCTGCTGAGCTGCCAGTCCCTCAGCATCAGCTCAGGTAGTGTTCAGTTACCACAGGACAATGATTGGGTTGTGGACTGCCGAGGATGCAGGAAAGGCCTAGAGCTTTTAGAGGCCCAGAGCTGTATAAAACTGACTTTGCAGTTTAAAAGTTGGTGAAAAGGACCAGTAATAAAGAGAATTGATACTGACATTTAGCGAACTTGTGAATGATCATTGGACTTGTATTTTATGTCTGAGAATGCGCATCTGGGAAAAACTACTGTCACTCCAAACACAAGCTGATACATTTACTTTCCATCATGAAAAATAGGAATTTCTCAAGGATTAAGTTTTCAAAGTTTCTTTTTTCAGCTTAAATGATGCCAGAGAAGAATTTGTGTTCTTAGGTTTGAAAATCGACACTTTTGGTTTCTCAAGTCACAAAAATGTGGGTCCTCATAGTGCGCTTAATATACCTTGTGGCTGAAAAGCCCAGTTACAACTGTATTTTGCACTGTATTTTGGAGGAGACTTGTAAAAAAGATTGTAAAGGTAAGCTCCAGGCAAAAAGATGTGAGTCTTTTATGATTTTAGCAGCTTTTGGCAAGATTCGCCTTTCTTGGACTTTGGTTTCAATTGTGTGCAAGCATTGACAAATCTGTGAGAAGAGAGGCTTTGTAGATTAAGAACATCATATTTCTTTTTATAGCAATCAATATTAAAAACATGTAAGGCCTGCCAATCTGGAGTCCATGTGAACAATAACATTTGGAAAAGAACAGTTAGAGCCTCTCACCAGTGCAGTAATAGACCTGTGTGAGTGAGGTCCTGCTTTGCTGTCCTCTTCTTCAGCTGCAGTTCCAACTTTCCCTTCGGTGCTACAGGTTCCTGGGTGAAGGACATGGTCTTTGGCCTCTGTGTCTTGCAGCTATGGAAAACTCAGAAGTTAAAAACTAAGGTAATGGTTGCTATGTTTGTTTTCGGTACAGAAAGCAAAGTATGATGTTCTTTGCCCCATGTTTCTTGGAGTATGGTGTGGTTCAATGGTCAGTGGTGTCTGGAAACTGGGTGAAAGGCTTGTAAAACTTCTGCTTTGCATTGTTACTGTGCATGTCTTGGGTTTCAACACTCAATGAAATATTTTAAGTGTTGTCTTATACTTGATGTTGTAGTGCAAATAAGAAATAACACTTAATTGTGTTTCGTTTTTTTTACTTTGCCCCATTTCTGAAAGAATCTTCAACTGATTGGCAAACAAGTCATCATCAAAACACCCATGAAACACAAGAAAACATTTTTGGAATACATATTTTTAGGCTCATTTTAAAGACGAGATTGTGAGCACCCAGACAGATTACCCAACACAGCATGCAAATGCAGTAACATCTCTGGCAATCAAATTCTGTTTTTTCCATATGCTCACCACCAGGCCAGCTTCTGCATCCTGCTCCGCTTGGCATTTTACTGTAGGAATTTACATTACGTGATGAGTAAGTATAGCAAGATTTCCTCCGTCATGTAATTTAAATTATTAAATTTATAATCAGTTATTGAATTCCTGTAGCTGATCGAAGCTGCATAAGAAGATAGAGTCTGGCACTTCATTCAGTTTGTCATTTGGTCATGTAGAATTCTCAGATCTCAGCATCGCTTGTAGCTTAGGCAATTGTATGGATAAAGATAGGACAAAACCATGTCTCTGCCTCCGTTTAAATCAGCCTACTGTGTTAATAAAAATTGCATCCAAGGCTAGAAGTAACAGTGTGTACAGACTGACAAATTGCATCTTCATCTGCCCACTATAATTGTCTTCTAGTTGAGTTAATCTGTATTGTGTAGCTCTGGCTAGAAGAATTCATATCCTAAGAGAATGCTGAAGTCAGGACTTCTAGACAAAATAACAGAACCTTAATTACTTAGAATTGCTTAAAGCTGGAACTGTGCCTCTAATGGAAGTACTAATTACTCAAAAATTGGCAATGTAGAAGGTTCCCTTTGATTTGGCTGATCCTTGCTATGGATTGTGCATCTTCTTGGTTCTCCACTGTCTGCTCCCAGTTCTAATTTGTTATCATGGTTGTAAAATTACTGGGTAAATGAATTCTCTGTTCTTATTTGGAAAGGGTGTGTCACAGCTGTTGAATGTGTAGTTTATTTCCTTATTTCCTCTGACTGGAGAATAGCTCTGGTGTGCTTCTGTTGATTTTAAAGCAAGGTGACTCCTGACTGATCCCCCATAATTTCCAATAGCTCAGAAATGTACTTCAGTTTGAGCTTAGGGTTTGTTTGTTTGGGTTTTCTTCACTTTTGCCACCGAGTAAGGCAAGGTAATGAACGTTAAAATCTACTCACGTATCTGCAATTGAGTGTCAGAACAAAACAATCATGAACGAGATTGAAGTTACAAAGTCAAGCACTCCAAAAATTGGGAAATATAAGAATGGAAATTGTCTGTGTAATTTCAGTTTTACTCCTTCACGCCTATATGGTATGATGCAACCTCTAATTATGTCATTTCCCATCGTGTGTGACTGATAAGTCATTTATTCAGTGTTTTCCTTGCAGTTCTGCTGCAATTCTCAATTTCAAAAATTAGGTCTACAAAGTAATAGTAAAGCTTAGAGAAACAGCTTTGCTGTGAGGGTTTGATCCTGCACAGGAGAAACAAGTAGGAACTTTCCTATTCATTTGGTATAGGAACTAGTCATAGATGTTTCATCACAAATATGCCTTTTAAAACCTGTCTTAATGTTCTGGTTCGTTTACAGTCAAAATACTGCATTGATGTTGCTTAATTTAAATCCTGTTTTATTGACATAAGACTTTCCAAGTGGCTTATTCTGGTTTAGCCTTTGGTTTCCTTTTATGTCTTCCTTTCTGTACAGCTGAATGAGCTAGTTATTTCAGTCCCTGCAAATAGGAATATTAGTTGTTTACAGTGATTCCAGTCATACAAGGACACAATTAAATGTCCTTGCCTTTGCAGGACAAGCTCATTTTAGCAGTGATTTATAGTTGCATTCTATTTTAAATTCTTCATAAGAACATACATAGTCAACAACTTAATATGGTCAAAAATAAAGATTTTATTCAAAATATGTTTGTTTTCCCCTCCAAGGAGCGGGAATACCAAACTAAATAAAACCACTGAGTAAATGGTGGGGGAAGGGCAAAGCAAAACAGTGGTTTATCTTTCTTTGTCAAAACAAAGCTGAATAAGAAGCTTGTGCTACTAAGAAAGTTGTACTGGTGCTGTAGACACAGAGGGAGGGCCCTTCAGTTAGAAACAGAACAACAGTCACTCAGTTGCTCTTACTGATTTTTTTTTTTCCCCTACATGCAGAATTTTTGGCATTCCCCACCAAAACCCACGAAAACCCCTACGTCCAAAAGTTAAATAGGTCTCAAAATCAAATACTTAAAAGGCCAAGAAATGCCACATGTATATAAATGGCCAGAAGAATTTAGCTTATACCTCTGTGTGCCTCCAGCCTGGAGACTGAATGAAGGGGGATTGTGTTAGAAGTAAACAGGCAAGAGCCCCTAAATTATGTGAGCACATAGTTGAAGATGCCAAGTAACTTTTATTCATAGGAAGGTGGAATTATATTTCCTATTAGCTTTAGTTATTCAGATATTCTAATTGAAATATCATGTAGACTTTTGCAGTGACAACTTGCATCTATTCTCCTCATGGTCCCACGTGCATTTTATAGAATTACAAGCCATGGGACAGAGGATCTGTCGCTCTCATTTGCTTACAAATAGCTCAGTCTAGCTACAGCACTGTGAAAATTACCCTTTGCTGTTGAATTCCTTTAGACCCAAAGGAGCATGCTGACACAGTTTCCATGTACTGGTCTAGAGGTACAACAGGCTTTGGCACCATCCTTTGTATCAACCAGGCTTTCTTAAGCTCCATGAAATTGCCAGAATCCAGTGCAGTGATGCTGCTTATGGAGTTTGCAAGCGAGCAGCAGTGTTTGTGGAGCGCTTTGAGATGTGAGGCCTCAGGATCTCAGCTGTTCAGGATGCTCAGCCCACAGCTTTTGCCTTCTGTGGCCTTGCCGCCAGTTTTCAGTCTTGAGCTGCTGAGAGGTGCAACCATTTATTTGTCCACTTTCTGTGGGCTTAATTTGACTAAACCATTTTAAAGCTATTTTGGTGTATTGAAAGCTTAAGTTGCAGTGATAGTGTTTCTCTGGTAGCACAGATACATGTAAATAGGTGTTATGGATTTCACAAAGAGAGTACCCTTTATTAGAAGCAGAAGCTTTTGCAGTATCCTGGAAATAACTGTCCAGCACCCTGATTTACCTTGTTAAATAAGACTGGTATATCCGTGATGTGTCACAAATACAGGCTAACAGATAGACATAGTGACAGAGAGCCAAGACACCATGTATGGGCATCAAACATACCAGAGGGCAAGGATGACAGCAGGGAATGTAACCTCGTGAAGTTGCCTGGTTAAGGCAAAATGCCACCTGGCACAAATCCTGGCTGCCATAAGGTTAAAAATAACAAATACTATCCCTATTACATAAGGAAATCTTTTGTCCTTGTTTAATGGGGCACTGAGGTACGCTGGAAAGAATAAATGCAGAGAGTCTCTGAACTCTTACTTGTAGTGTTAGTGCTTAGGGACAAAAGAGCTGAAAATACCAGGGTTGACTGTAAGCAGGACTCTGTGTATAAACTGTTGGCATTAAACAGGTGAAATCTGGGTGAAATTCCAGCATCTAAGCATGCTCAGCAGCAGCATCAAACCACTTCACTGGTGACATCTCAGCTCAAGAAGACCTTCTAGTCCATCACTCTTTGTGATGATCATGTTACTATAACATAAATACAGAGTATCTGTGTGTTCACAGCAGCCTGTAAACACTGTGGATGGCTGCAATCCATTGCCCATGTTCTGCTGCTTATTGCAGTCAAATAGGGGTTGGAGAAGCTGTTGAAGTCATTGTGAATGAACTTGATACTCACCCCAGGAGTGTGATCTGTTTTCATCCCATCCAACTTCCAGTCACGTGAAGGAAACACCTGGCTACAGCAGTTTGAAGGGTAAATTCAATGAAGGTACAGTGAGATGCTGCTCATGTCCTTGTAGGGGGCACACACCTCAAAATGGATTCAGTCAGTGACAGATGTTTTTATTATCAAAAAGAAAACCCTTTAGATAATTTTTATTTCCAGTGCTTTTTATATGCTGTTTAA